TCAGGCTTGCAAGAGAGGTTAAACGTATTAAAAGGGCGTCTTCAGCCAAGTTCGAAGCAAGAGGGAAAACAAGAAGACAGAGAAATCCTAGTAGGTGACAGAGAGAAGATGGAAAGCAGAACTGATCCACTGGGGCTCTTCTTATGTTCCTGGGTTTTGTAAAACATACAGCCTCTAGAATGTTGGGAAACCAGAGTATAAATGTTAAATAAATATAGATCACCCTTCATCAGTGATGGAAAGTTAAATCAACAACTGAGGTGTCATTCCAACAGCACACCAATCATATCATATTTGCAAATGACACATCTGGGGATGTGACAGGAGATTAGGAGGCTTCCTGATGGGGCAGCTTCATGAATCACCACAATATTAATATGGAGAAAGAGATCCCAACAACATCCTCTCTAAGTGACAATACTAAGAGTGCCCTTGGGGCTGTATTGTACTGAAAATATCTCACAGCCCCCACCAAATCGTTGGTGTGTCAGTCTCAAGGTGGCAAAGCGAGTCTAGCCGACACACCCTGGAAGAAGATCCAGTTGCTCTTCTGAGGTGTCACTAGAGGGCAACTGTGCCTTCTAGTGTAGAGAATGAGATGGGAGAGGCTGTCTCTTTGGGAAAGGAGCAGAAAGTGAAGGAAATTTGGGTCCTACTTCAAGGATATGTAATAAAGCACTAGTTTTCAACTGCTAGACCAGGATCCGCTAGTGAGTCAATTAGAAAAGGAGCACTACCACCAAGCAAATATATGGTAAAAAGATTAAGAATTGGGATCTCAAATGTATGTGTGTTAAAAGAAGGCTCTGAAAAGACTGAAGATGCCTGCAAGTTACTGAACTGTGCAGGTGGGGAAATTGTATGACTCCTTAATCATCATCATCATCATCTATAAACTAGATGTAGGGGAGAGGAATCCTAGCTTAGTGTTCTACCTCACATACTGAGTTTTGCCTGAGTGACCCACCCCCCTATCAAAAAACCAACTGCTTAATTCCAAGTCTAATCCAGAAACCATTGTTCTTCAACAATACTTATCCTTCAATACCAGGGCTGGAGAACCTGCAACCTGTGAACCTAATGAGTCCCTCCTCATCTGGAAGCTGCCCTGAAAACTAGGGCTCATGGGAATTGGAGTAGAGGAACATTTGGAGATTTCCCATCTCTGGCCTAGAACTTCATCTCTTATCACCACCACCTGCCACGCTCATCACACTACTAGAACTCAATAGGGTCATCAAAAGAAGCTCAGAGGACAGATAAAAGGAATCTCTTGTTCACAATGCTCATTCATAAATTTAGTGTCACAGGAAATAGTGGTGGCCGCCAATTTGAATGGCTTTCCAAAGGGCTTAGAGAAACACGTTTGTCAGATTTGGCCACTGACAATTTAAGGGTCCTTGTAGTTGAGGTTTGCCAGCATTTCTTAATGCTTTCAAGCATTTAAATGAGAGGTGGCCTTTCCTTTTTGGAATCATTTGAAGCAAGAAGAGCCTACTGGATCAAACCAGTTGCCCAGCTCTGTTGGCTAGAGCTTGGTGATCATAATGCCAAGGTTGCAAGTTCGCTCACTGTATGGGACAGCTGCACATTCCTGCATTGCAAGGGATTGGGGCTAGATGATCTTCAGGGTCACTTCCAACTTTACAATTCTATGATTCCATGATCTAGTCCAGCTTCCTGTTCTCACAGCGGCCAACCACATGAATCTGGGAAGTCCACAAGCAAGAGCTGAGAACAACAGCACCCTCCTCTGACGGTGGAGGTAGAACAGGTTAGTAGCAATTGGGAGCCTTATCCTACAAGTACAAGCGTGGTATAGTGGTTAGGCTTTCAGACTAGGACCTAAGGAACCAGTCTTCAAATCCCCACTTGGCTCTGAAGCTCATTGGGCGACCTTGGGCCAGTCACTATCTCTCAGCCTAACCTAACCTCGTGGGGTTGTTGTGGGGATTAAATTAGGAGGTGGAGAACCATGTGCTCCACTTTGAGCTCCTCAGGGAAGGTGGGATATAAATGCAATAAAAAAAGAATAAAGAACATGAATGTTTTCAGTGTCACATTCAATAGACCTCTGGGTATAGGGCAGTATATAAATTCACTAGACAACCATTAGCAGCAAGAAAACTCTTTCAGAGTGAGTTACCAATGGTTTGGTTGAATGACAGGTGATAGAAGCAGGGTTACTATTATTATTATTATTATTATTATTATTATTATTATTATTATTAAAGCAATCTTGGGACAAGAAGGAATCAGATTTTTGGGACAGTTAACAATTGTCATTTGCATCACATTTTCACATATCTTGCTGCCATTCGCACACCGCAACCATATGTAGAACAAGCAAGTAGAAATGTAGACATGCATTGTCTGTAAAGATTTGCAATCCAAGTCCTGATTCATTTTCATTTCTTTATTTCAGCTCTTATCTCTTTTTTTAATAAACTGTGCTGCGGAGATGCTTTGAAGATTACTGTGCTCTATTGACTATAAAGTTCTTTGATACCTTCTGGTATTGCTTTGAAACTGAGAAGTTTGCATTAAATCTGTATGGGGTGTGACCAGAATGCTACATTACACAGGGCTTGGATGATCAAGTAATAATTTCAAATGAGAAGGGAAAATAATTACAGCAGTTTGAGAAGTTACACGTAGCATCTTCTGGTTGCCTGGATAATTAAGAGTTGTAGAACAAAGAGGCTGCTTCACAGCCCCCTGAGGGTGCATTAGGAACGTATATAAGAGTGTCAACTATGATTTTCACAAAAAAACTCTTCCTCTCAACTTCATCTACTCCTTGAAGTCGGTAAGTGCAATTTGACTTGATTTATTGACAAAAGATTTTAAAATGTTGCTTTGCTGTCTGAACACCTTGGGTGGGGAGTGGATTATGAAGACAATGTCCCTGAGATGTAGGATTGAATTGCACTGAAAATGGGTTGGCTTGCTCAAAAGTCCTCCTTCAGGTCTCGCCCACAGAGTAATCTTCATGTTACGTTGCAGCAAACTCAACTATCAACCCATGGCTGTGTGGAAATCTTACCAGGGAAACTTTTGCTCATCTCATCAATATTCTCATTCTGAAAATAAAATAAAATAAAATCCTCAGTGTTTCATTTGAGGGTGGTCAGATGGAAAAGAGGAGAGGGCTCCTGAACCTTTTTGTGTTGAAGAGGGAGTTTCATTGAGAAGCTACACCTTATTCTAGTCCACCATCAAAGGTAAAGAAGCCCTGTCTTCTAGCCACCCTAGGAGGAACCTTCCTAATTGCCTAGAATTTTGCTTTGGGGGAAAATTCTTGGGTGACTGTAGAAAATGAAAATGAAGAAATAAACGAGTCCTCCAATTTCACACCATGATCTGAAGCCAAAAGGAGGGAGACCCATAGATCCCCATGGTGTGATCTGAACTGAAAAGATCACTAATGATCTTCATACCTGCTTCCTGTGTACTTATTTATAGCATTTTATTTATTTGAAAGCATTTCTAAGCAATGTAATGTTTCAAAAAAATTCTAAGTGGTGTACATCATGTCAAGTAAAACAAAAATGCATTATGAAAACAGTAAAGAAGAAAGTATAACAGTATTTAAAAGAAAATGAAACAGACTTGGGGGATTCAAACAGATAACAAGCAGTCTAATTTTATGGGTCAGAGTCACTGGTACCCAAAGTTTGCTGTTTGTAGCCAATGGCCACTGCAATATAAACATAAAACACATATGTGTAAAACACAGAAAAAAGAAAAGCATAGGTCCAATAAGAGAGGGATAAATGCAGGTAAACAGGACTTACAGAAATGTTCCCTTACTGACTTACTGGGAAATCTATTATGGATCAGAGGGAAGAATATTCCAAAGTGAAGGGCCAACTGTTGAAAATCCCAATTTTGGGGTCGCTGCCATTTGATATTCTGCAGGATGTACTGCCCCCAGTTGAATTTCCACAGCTGATCTAAATTGTCCTATAGGTCTGTACAGGGGCAGGAGATCTTGCAGATACTTAGGGTGCACAACACAATCCCATTCCGATATATGGAGAAGTGGGTCCAATTCAGTCAATGGGACTTACTCCATGGCAAGTGTGTCTTGAAGCTAAAAGGAAGTCCTACTGAATTCAGTAGGAATACCCTGCCAAGGAGCCTTGTCAAACTCAGTGGGACTAATACCTGAGTAGACACTTATAGGGTTACACAATGCATTTAAGAAAAATTGTACCTCACATGTTTGGAACCGTAACCAGAAATTTTACAGTGAGAGGGGAGCTCCTAAGGAAATCATTGCAAAATAGCTTGAACATAAACTGTAGAAGCTTGACGTGTTTAAGATGCTTTAATTGCATTTCTACAATTGCAATTATAATGAGTAATAGTGGAGACTCCTGCTTGTCTGCTTCACCATATATTCACAGAAGGGTTTTGTGTTGGTTGGACCAGAATGACAGGGTCTTCAGGGAAGGGCAGCAGTAGAGCTATAGTTTGCTGTGGGTTTGGGGAGTTGTTAGGTGACCTCTATATTCCCCTCACAGAGCTACAATATCCAAAATTCCCTGGGAAGAGGGATTGTTTGCTAAAAGACTCTAGGAGTGGTTAACTCTCTGAGAGTAGTAGGAGCCACCAAACAACCTTCAGCACCCTTATTCAACTAAAACTCCCAAAATCCTTTGGGGGGAAGCCACAATTGTTTTTAAAGCATCGTTATTGTGCTTTGAATGCATTTTGTAAGTGTGACCTACGTTAGATGCAACCCAGACCTATCTTAGATACAACTGATTTTATTATTTGATTGTATGTATCTATTGACGTAACCTGCCGTGAGATCAATGGACAAGGGTGGAATATAAAATATATTCAAAAATGAATTAAGCACCACCCAAATTAATTCTGTTGACTTTCTCCCTTCTATTACAGACCCACCTCCCCATTTAGAAAGATGATGCTCTATAGGCAATCAAGCTGCTATCAGCCTTGTTATCAACCATGCTACCAACCTTGTGGCTATGGCGGTGGCACTGGCTATTCCAGTGGCACAAGCTGTGGCTATGGTTACAGTTCTGGCTGCGGTGGTTATGGTTCCGGTGGCTATGGCTATGGCCCAGCTTGCATGCCACCATGCAGTTACGGTTACCGGTACAGTCGCAGAGGGGGCTGCTATGACCCCAGTGCCTACAGGTTGGGGTACGGAGCTCGGCTCAACTCTCCTTCAAGAAGACATGGCGGAAGCTATCGAGGAAGCTGTGGTGGAAGCTATGGAGGAGGTTATGGAGGATGCTATGGAGGAGGCTATGGAGGAGGCTATGGAGGAGGCTATGGCGGAAGTTGCGGATGGCCCTGCTAATCCCAGCAAGAGCACCCATGGGTTCAAAGGCGGAGCAGCAAATCCAGGGCTAAACATGATTTCAGAAAGGCTGAGGACGAACAAACCCCTTCCATTGGTTTCGTGAGTGGTTTGGGAACTCAGCACTTCTGAAACACTGAGCCAGGACTCTCTTCCCCCCATGTTGAGGGAACAAAACCTGACAGCCATCATTTTCACCCAGTGACAATTGCATCTTTTTCAAGACTCGATGTGAAACTGACCCCTTTGCCTTTTTGACTTGTGACTCTACCTGGAGGGGTGGGCAAAAGCTGGCCGAAGGAAAAGGAAAGATGGGGCTGAAAGTTTGCCTGTGTGGAATGATGAAGACTTCTCTCACTGTCACACTTTCCTGTGCCATTCAATAAAACTCAAACTTAACAGCAAATTAGTAAAAACACTTTTTACTGTTTGTGTATACTTGATGTATGGGTCCTCATTTTGACACAGGACAGGGATTGTGGAAGTGCTTTTTTAAGCGAGGAGGACTCAAAATGATCATCATATGGTGACTGTTGCTCATTTTCCAGAAACACATTTACCTATGCCATAGAGACATGGGATTGGTAGCTTATCAGGACAGCCAGGAATGCTTCTGTTCAGGGTTCAAACCCAAGAGGTGGATGTCCTCTTCCATGAAACTCTCATTTTTTATTTATTTATAAGGGATTGTTCCCCAACTAAGTCCTACCCAAAGTAGACCCACTGAAGTTAATAAGGTAAAAGGACCCCTGACCATTAGGTCCAGTCGTGGCCGACTCTGGGGTTGCGGCACTCATCTCGCTTTCTTGGCTGAGGGAGCCAGCGTACAGCTTCCGGGTCATGTGGCCAGCATGACTAAGCCGCTTCTAGTGAACCAGAGCAGCACACAGAAACGCCATTTACCTTCCCGCTGGAGTGGTACCTATTTATCTACTTGCACTTTGACGTGCTTTCGAACTGCTAGGTGGGCAGGAGCAGGGACTGAGCAACAGGAGCTCACCCCGTCGCGGGGATTCAAACCGCCAACCTTCTGATCAGCAAGTCCTAGGCTCTGTGTTTTAACCCACAGCGCCACCCGCGTCCCTTTTACTGAAGTTAATAGGCATGACTAATTTAGGTTCATTAATTCCAATGAGTAGACATTCTACCGGGGTAGAACTTAGTTGGATGCAACCCAAGATTTCTTACCTGACCTTCACCACAATGTCCCCAGGAAGCTGCCTTGTTCCATCAACACTGACTGGCAATAGCTCTCCGGGGTTTGTGGCAGGGAATATTTCCCAGCCCTTCTTGAAAGACACCAGAGATTGAACCTGGGGTCTTCTCTTTGCAAAGCAGATGCTCTGTTTCTGAGCTATGGACCTTCTCCAGGGTGAGTTCCAATAATATAATTGACAATTATAAAAATGAATTTAAACAATTATATAAGACACGTGAATGGAACAAAACAGCAACCGTATGCTAGATGTAGTCAAATGCCCATCTAGTCTACCATCCTGTTTCCCAAAGTAGTCAATGAGATGCACACAAGCAGGGTATTAACACAAAAAAACTCTCACCCCCTTCTTCACCCTGAAGAGAATATATATATATAGCCTTCTTGGCTAACCATGGTCATTTGATAGCTTTATCTTCCTTGGTGTTGTTTATCCAAAAATCTGAAAGGGTGGGCTTCCACTATAAAACTGATATACAATTTGTTGGGAAAGAGAGGAAGTTGCTGTTGTCCTCAGGATCTTCTTCCAGTCTTCTCACTGGGGCTTCAGGTTGGCCAGTGTGTGAACAGGATGCTGGAATGGATGGGCCATTGGTCGGATCCAGTAGGGTTCTTCTTATGTTCTTAAGACAGCCTTCATCAAACTGGTGCTCTCCAGATATTTTGCTTTGTGAGGCTAGATGTTGGTTCCTTTAGGTCTAAATTTGTATAAATTTATACATGGCATGGATAAAGGCCCGCACACAAAATATATATTTTTTTAAAAAAGTATTCAGTTTTCTTTTTCATTCATTACATACATCTCATATCCATAATATTTACTATGCATTCCACCCTCCCTCCCCTCCTAGGCTTCCCCCAACTTCCCGCTTCTGGTTTGTTTCTCCTTTCACCCACCTTGCTACCTCCTAAAAGAAAAAATGCTAATAACATATTTATAGACTAACATCTAACCTAAAAACATAAAGATGAAAATAAGTACACCATATTATTTCTATATCTTCTACACATTTTCTAATGCTAATGATGTCAATGCTTATTTAAATCCTGCCATCAAGTCTATAGACTTTTTTTGTTTCTGCAAATATAATATAAATGGTTCCCATTCTTTTTCAAAGTCACTGTTGTCTTTTTCTCATAGTCTGTCTGTCATTTTTGCCAGTTCTGCATAGTTCATCAACTTCCCTTTCCATTGTTCTTTAGTTGATGTTTCTCCAGTCTTCCCATTTTGTGCAATCAACATTCTCGCAGCTGTAGTGGCATACATAAATAAGAGTCCTCTTTTCCCACACAAAAGAATTTTTATTCCTCCCTGAATTCCAGTCGCTGGGTATCAGAAGTGGGAGGACTCAGTGCTCAGGTTCTGCTTTCGGACTGACCATTAGGTATCTGGTTGCCCATTGTGAAGAAGAAGAAGAGTTTGGATTTGATATCCCGCCTTTCACTCCCTTTTAAGGAGTCTCAAAGCGGCTAACAATCTCCTTTCCCTTCCTCCCCCACAACAAACACTCTGTGAGGTGAATGGGGCTGAGAGACTTCAAAGAAGTGTGACTGGCCCAAGGTCACCCAGCAGCTGCATGTGGAGGAGCGGAGGCTCAAACCCGGTTCCCCAGATTACGAGACTACCGCTCTTAACCACTACACCACACTGGCTCCTCTGGCCTGACCCAGCAGCAGGGCTGTTCTTACCTAGATGACATTTGAGGTGGCCTCCGACTCATCATGATTCTATGATCAAGCAATTTAGTTAGATTTGTGGAACCCGCTCATCAATATTGTCATCTCGGTGGGGTGTTAAATGCTCTGTAACTGAGAGGAAAGCCACAAAAGGAAAAGTTGAGGGCATGATGGAAAACAAGATTTTGTTTTTGTTTTAATTTTAGAGGAAGGAACAAGTCTGTTGTTACATGTGTGTACGTGCCGCATGCACGCACACACACAAACACACACACATTGTGGCTAATGTCTACCCTTTGGAAGTCTGCCCCTTCTAATAATGCCTCCTCTTGTATTTATAATATCTGTTTGTGCTGTAAAAGCCAATGGCAAAAGCTATCCATCTTCATCTTGAAAGGCAACAACTAATTTGTTTAGTATTCTCCCGGATCTGCCCCAGCACGTTGGTGCTGTTCCTACAGCCCCTGGGGCAAAGACGCTCATGTTTACTTCAAAGTTCAGCATTATTCATTTGAATGCATATTTTACAGAAGCACAAGAACACAGGGTATAGGCAATTATTCTACTCTTGTTCTCTCTCTTTTTCCATTTGCCCATTATATCCTCAGTGTCCTTGACTTCATCTACCCATTATTGTCCTCATTGCCATCTGGCTCATTGGCTCATTGTGGCCTTTATTCCCTTCTCACTTTGGTTTCATAATATTTAAGAGTGTCTGCCAAACATATTGCTCTGCTTTCCTTTGGTCCACATCAGTGAGGCCTGAATGTGGGGTCTTCATCCAACAAGCACATGCCCAACTTGGGGGGATAGGAAGGAGGACTCTAGGACCCTGTCAGAACCCTCACTCCTTCTCAAAGCCAGGGACCCTTCTTGGCTGCATGCCTCCTGAGACCACACCACTCCCACTGTCCTAAATCTGCCTCTGCCAGGACCTCCAAACACACTGCCTAGGCTTCCCCTTGAGGGAGGTCACCAGCGCTGCTAATACAACTTCATCCCTAGAGGCACATTCCATTGTCTCAAGACAGATAAAAGGTAAAGGGTACATTAGGTCCAGTTGTGGCCAACTCTGGGGTTGCAGCGCTCATCTCGCTTTATTGGCCGAGGGAGCCGGCGTACAGTCATGTGGCCAGCATGACTAAGCCGCTTCTGGTGAACCAGAGCAGCGCACGGAAACGCCGTTTACCTTCCCACCAGATCTATTTATCTACTTGCATTTTGACATGCTTTTGAACTGCTAGGTTGGCAGGAGCAGGGACCGAGCAACCGGAGCTCACCCTGTCGCGGGGATTTGAACCGCCGACCTTCTGATCAGCAGGTCCTAGGCTCTGTGGTTTAACCCACATTGCCACCCACGTCCCTTTAATCTATCTCAAGACAGATAGATGCCAACAATAAAAAATAAAATAAAATAAAATAAAATGCCAGAGGTAGCATCGTGGGGTCATTTGTGGGGGAAGACTGCCTTTGGGGAGGGCAAGGCAGCCAGAACTTCACTGAGGGAGGAAGGCAAGTCCACCAAGCTCCAACTGAAGAACTTTATGGCAGGAGCTGCTCTGTCCTTTTGGCCTGGGCACTGTCACCAGCTGTGACGTGTGAGGAAGAGTGTCTTAGGGCAAGGCAGCCAAAGCCACTACCAGCACAGACTTGAGTTTAAAAACTGTAAATTTAAGCATGCATTCAATGGATTGCTTTTCACTCCTCAGTCCTCTTCTTAAGTTAGATTGCAAGCCTGGGGGCAGGGACGATGTCTCGGCACTAATTTTTGCAAGGCACTTTGTAAGACCTTTTTGGAGTAAAGAGGAATGAATGCCATAAACAAATAAATCAAATGGTTCAATGTGTCCAATGGGATTAAGCCCAAGTGTGAGCAAATGTGGGGATGTGAGGGAAGAGTTAATTTACTTACCTATTTAGTCCATAAAATTTATACAAACACACAAACAAAACCCTCAAAGTGGTTGTCCTCAAAGAGCGAGGGTGGAAGAGAAGGGAAGGGAGGTTAACAGCAATGGAATGATATAACAGGTGCTGAAATTTGCTTTAGAGGAAACCTGGTGAGAACATTGGCACCTCCTTCCCTTCTCTCTTCACTGATCTAATGAAAACAAAGGTTTAGCCTCCCCTAACATTCTGCAGATGTTTTGCCCAAAGGAGGAACACCCAAACTAGCTTTTCAAATCTCCCTTAAGGTGACATTTCAGTGCCAAATGTAATCCCAGTTCTTGTCTGGTAGGTGTAATAGCGTGTTTCTTGTTTTTAAGTGTATAACCCCTATATAAATAGGTATGGGCAAATGTGTCAGTTCCAGTTTTGCTCCATTGTTCACCCCACCCCCTAACCTTAATTACAGTTTGCCCCAAATTCAACATAAATTTGCATTAAAAAAAAAAATCCACATGGAAGTCATGCGAATTCGGGCCTGCATGCCAATACTGGCTGGGTTCACAATAAAAAGGAGGTGGAGCAATATATATGATTTTTCTTCCTTTCATAAAAAGGCTGGTTTGTTCATACACCTCTCTCACTAGCCTTCATGCATGCAAGTGTTCAAGGACAATTCCAGCCAGGCAAAAGAACTAATGGAAGGTGTGAAGCAGGGTCAATATAGAGTGTGGCCTGGATAGAGAGGGTGTAGTCTGGGGAGAGTTTTGAGGGCAAGATTGAGAGGCTTAGAGGGCCACATTTACACAACCCTGAGGCAGTGGTGATCACCAACTTGGGTAGTTTTAAAAGAGTATTAGACAAAATTCATAGATGATTCATAGACTATCAGTGGCTACCAACCACCATGATTATGTTCACCAATGATGCTGTTGGGATGTCAGGGGTCGTGCTGAAAAGGGCTGCACTGAGGAAGAATGGTGGGAGCCACCCCCTCCCCCTCCTCCTAATCCTGAATCTTTTCAGAAACAGGAAGATAGTATAGATTTGGAACAGTGGTTTGCAGAGGGGCAAATTTCAGAAGTCAGAAGCTGGGAAATACTGGATGGGGAACAGCTAGGGGAAGAAACACTGGAAGAGAGAGGGTTAACAGATTCACAGTCTCTGGACAGCATTCCTCCGCTCAGCCCAAGAAGAGCTCAGAAAGTGTCAGAATACAAAACACAGAGGCCCCAAGCTAAAATTACAAGTAGGAGTGACGTATATTAATAGGGACGGGAGGGGGGGTGAAATGAATTGGGAGCACCGCCATTCTGCTTAGATCAGGGGTCAGCAATCTAAGGCCCAGGGGCCACAAGCAGCCCATGGGGGTGTTTAACTGGCCCATGGACCACCGCCACCCGCTCGAAGACCCCCACTGCCCGCTTGGTCGGCTCCCATGCGCTGTGCTAAACCGGTGCGGAGCAGAGCAGGGACAGCTTTCCATGACGCTTGCCGGCTTCCCATTGACTGCAGGAAGCTCCTGCAGCCAATGGGAAGATGTGCATGCCTCTTCCGCGCCAGAAGGAGTGTCAGAAATAGTGTCTGTGCATGCATGTGCATGCATGGGCGTGTGTGTGAGTGGACTCCTGCCCAGTGCAGCGTCTGTGGGACCGTGAACCAGCCCAAGCCACAAAAGCTTTGCTGACCCCTGTGTTAAATGCTTTCTTTTGTCCTTCGCAGTGTTTATTAAAGAAACTAACTGGTAAGAATTCCCTTTAATTTGATCTGTTCATTTACAGCCACGGAGGATGAAGCCGATTCTCCAAAGACTGACAGTGTGCCTCTGAATGTCATTTTCTGGGAATCACAAGTAGGCTGTTGCACGCAGATCCCGCTTTCAGACTTTCCAGAGGGATCTGATTGGTCACTGTAAGAAAAGGATGCTGGAGGTTGTGAAGCAAGGCTGGATAGGGGTGCGACCAGGCCATAGGGAAGGTATGTGGTCTGGTCCAAAGGGTTGGATGAAAAGGGAACATTCAGCTATGGTTTCTGAGGTCCCCCACCCTGGTGATAAAAGATGAACACAGGAAAATGCTTCACTGCATACTTTAATGATAATAAGAAAGTGAGGAAAGAACTATTCATTACAAAGCAGAAGACATAATATCAAGGATACTTAAGAACATGATGTGTCATGATGGATGAGATCAAAAATATTATGAGCTTATCCAATCCATCACCCTGTTTCCTACAGGCTCACCATGTTCCCCAGAGAAATACACAAGGGCTGTGTGGAAAAGGAGAATACACTCCCTTGTGGTTAGTCTCCAGGAACATCTATTAATCAGAGATATGATGGGTTGCACACAACTAATTCCTACTCATAGTAAGTGGATTGATTTTGATGTTCATGCTCATTTATTTCAATGGGTCCACTCTTAGGTAGGAGTAAACTGAATACAGCCCATAGTCTCTGAACATAGAGGTGCAATTCTTAGCTATTCTGTTGAACAGCTGTGGCTAGATCTCTCCTCCATGGATCGATCTAGATGTGCCCAAAATGCCATCTAATCTTGAATGGCCATTTCCTGACCTCTGGAATCCTTTCTTCCTTCTCACTCACGTACTGACCTACCTAACATGCACAACCACCCTACCTAACTAACATGCAAAGGTCCCTCTTGTGTCCTAGAAATCATTTTCTTTCCAACAGTAGCCACTTGTCTGGATCATGTTGAGGGCTTCTTCTGACACCCCACCCTTTGTTCCATGATGAACAATCTCAACAAGAAAAAAGGGGAGGATTTCTTTCCCTCTTAGCAATACATATCTTCCTCATACCACCATGCACTGGCCTAAACCACATTCTAGCTACGCGGTTTAGGCCAGACGGCATAAATGCAAATTGTTCTGCCCATTGTAGAATGTGCCTTCACCAGAAATTCATGTGATAAACTCACATCGGCTAAAGATCTGCACATTACTGGCTGGATGTGGAGCAACCACAAAAGCTGCCATGATCCTGCTACTCAATATAATGTGCAAAATAGCCCTCAGCTGGTGGCCATCCCAGAAATGGGTTTGAGAAGCAGTGGTTTTCATGGTTCCTATCTTGGGGAGAACACTTTCAAATAGTTTTGGAGGAGCAGGTGTGAGTGGTTTGAAAACCATTTGTCACCCCCTTTTAAATCTGCTTTGTCTTTTGTTTTGGGACAGTGGAGACAGCAACAAGAACATTCTTCTAAATGGTGAGCTGTAATTATATTTTCACTGTTCCAGCAGAGTGCTTGGAGTGAACTAATTCTGATTTAACCAATTCATTGAAACTAATTCAAAGAAAATCTCTGAATTACACACTGTGTGTGTGTGTGTGTCCATTGCATTTGTATTTTATAACTACATGAAAAGTGATGCTTCTGTTTCAGCGCAAATGTCATAGTTGTTGGAGGGAAAAAAATAAAACAATTGTTCACATCACACTGTGTATTTTGATGTTTCCTTACTCTTCTTAACTATATCTTATCCATTGGCCACATCCACACCTTACATCTGAAGCACTATGATGCCACTTTAAACAGTTGTGGCTTCTTCCACATGATTTGGGGAAGTGTAGTTTGTCAAGGGTGCTGAGAGTTTCTTGGGAGACTCCTCTTCCCCTCCAGAGTCCCCTGGGAAGAGTGATTGATTGCTACGTTGCTCTGGGAATTGTACCTCTGAGAGTGAGAGAACCTTCCACAAACCACACATCCTAGGAGGCTTGGTGGGGGCATGAGTGTTAAAGTTGTCTAGCAGTGCTTCTAATGTGTGTTGTGGAGATGGCCTTTCACACAGCAGCTTGTGAAAGCTGGAAAAAATATATGCAAAGGAACATGTGAATGAATTGTGAATCGAAATAGAAGGGGGTGGGTGGAACTGGAAATGATTTTTCTTTTTAGAATGAGATTTCAAAGTACTGGTTCTTCAGTGATTCCCTGCCCTCTTAGCTCTACTCACAGAGGTTGATGTTGTGTGTTGTTGTTTTTTAAAGGCCCTTAAACCCCAAGTTTCCTCAGAAAGTAGTTTGAAAACCACGGTACAATACTTATTCCCCCCCTCCCGCAAAAAGAAACAAGCAGAATAATTTATTGGCATCTCTTGGATGCTCAAGACTAGTAAGGAGAAAAATGTGCACATACTGTATTATATGCAGTGGCTATATAATAAAGAACATCTAGAATAGCCTTCAACAACCTGATGCCCTCCAAGTGTTTGGGAGTACAATCCTCAACAGTCCCAGCTGGCTAGGACTTATGGGAGTTGTGGTCCAAAACATCTGGAATACACCAGGTTGGCGAAGGATGATCTAGAACCTGTCCTTCATTCAAAGGTGCAAGACACTTAATTCTTGACCTTCAGAGGTACTGAAGACACACACAAAAACTGACTTCATTGGAAATAATCTGGGAGCCCATGTTCTTTGAAAGCTGTCCTCAGTCGTTACAGATCGTTTGTTCCTATTTGTGTTGTGTCTTCCTGTCTTGAGGACACTCCTGTCCCAATTTAGCATGGGGAGGAGTTGCTACGGCGGTATCTCCGGTATCCACCAGAGTGGCAGCAGCTTCCTGAAGAGCAGCCATAGCATGGTGAGCAACAGCTGGAACTGTAGCGGGGCGAGCAACAGCTGGAACTGCAGCAGGGTGAGCAGCAGCTGGTACTGTAGCGAGGTGAGCAACAGCTGGAACTGTACCGAGGCGAGCAGCAGCTGGAACTGTACCGAGGCGAGCAACAGCTGGAACTATAACGAGGTGAGCAACAGCTAGAACTGTAGCGAGGCGAGCAGCAGCTGGAACTGTAGCAAGGCGAGCAACAGCTGGAACTGTACCGAGGCGAGCAACAGCTGGAACTGTACCGAGGTGAGCAACAGCTGGAACTGTAGCGGGGTGAGCAACAGCTGGAACTGTAGCGAGGTGAGCAACAGCTGGAACTGTACTGAGGTGCATAACAGCTGGAACTGTACCGAGGCAGGCAGCAGCTGGAACTGTAGTGAGGCGAGCAACAGCTGGAACTGTACTGAGGTGCGTAACAGCTGGAACTGGAGTTATAGCCAGTGGGGCCACAGCTGGATCCAGATCCACAGCCATATCCAGGGGGGTAGCGGCAGCCAGAATTATTCCCCGAGGGGCGGCAGTAGCTTCTCACCCGGTGGCCTCCCCAATTCGAGCTGTATGGATTCCAGGAATCCTGGGGTCTGTAGCAAGTCATCTTCGTGGGTTGGAGATGGATCTGGAATGGTGTAAAAGAAAGCGAAATGAGAGGAAAGTCCTTTGCTTGTAGAAACAGCATGGACAGATGTCTCCCACATTTCTAGTTCTTATGTTCTTGTTGTTATTAACCAGAATAACAACAGCAAGAAGAGGAACAACAGGAGCAGCAGCAATCAAGCCCACTCCCATTTGCTGTGCAGGTTCACCAATTGCTTCAGGGCTGAGAAGGATGTGTCTCTGTCAACTCTTAGAATAATGTGTGCCTTGGAAATAAGTTATCCACCAGGTTTGGTTTATCCAATTGCCATGATGCAGTTCTCAGCTCAGAGAGATCAATAGATACAGAGATCTAGTTATCAAATCTATCTATTTATTCTCTTTCTTTCTTTCTTTCCTTCTTTCTTTCTCTATAAGAGCAAAAGTGAGGTACCTAGAAATAGGCATGTAGAGATGTAGATAGATGATATTAAGGTTACCATATTTCAAAAAGTGAAAATCTGGACACTAAAGTTGTTGAGCTCTATTTTGGGGGGCAAAGTTTTCCGTTGTTTTTCTTTTCTTTTTTTCTTTTGCCAAATCAACACGTCCAAAATGGGGTGCCATACACTCAGGCTCTCCTGGACATTTTGACTGATTTTCGTAAATTCCGCCCGGGCATCATTTTCGGCAGATGAATGCCGGGTATGTCCAATAAATTCCTGACGTCTGGCAGCCCTAAGATAGTTCTGTAGATCCACTTATCATCTACCTAGCAACTAAGTGCCATCTATCAATTATTACTCAATTTAATTAAATGTGAAGTTAATTGAGATTATTGCAAATGGGGACAGCATGGGTTTATAGCTGAGCCAATGTGGAAGGACAGGGGCAAGAACCAGACTGTGATAGCCAACTAAATTCTGCTCACAGTAGACGCACTTCAGTTAGCCATCTCTATTCACTTCTGCTGGTCTACTCTAGATGAGACAAAGGACTTGTCCACGCTGACTTTTTGTCCTGCTCTTTCCAGGCAAATGTCTGCACTTTACAGCTGCATGTCCCAGCATGCCTTGGTTTGTTTGTTTGCCCCAAACTTTCCCCACAAAAAAAACTGAATCAGAGCAAATGTCAATTAAAGCTGAATTGAAACAAATGTCCATTCAGGTTTTCCACAGATTCGTGTTTGCTCCAATTGAGCTTTAAAGAGTGGGTTTCTGCAAGAAAAGCTCTAGAGCAGGGGTCAGCAAACTTTTTCAGCAGGGGGCCGGTCCACTGTCTCTCAGACCTTGTGGGGGACCAGACTATATTTTGAAGGGGGGGGGGGCGATGAACGAATTCCTATTCCCCAGGAATAACTCAGAGATGCATTTTAAATAAAAGGGCACATTCTACTCATGTAAAAACACATTGATTCCCGGACCATCTGTGAGCCGGATTTAGAAGGCGATTGGGCTGGATCTGGCCCCTGGGCCTTAGTTTGCCTACCCATGCTCTGGAGCAAATTGAAGGGCACCTGGACACAGGTCTTTAAATTATGGACCATGCCTGGAAAGAGCAGAGGAAAGGTAAGATTGGATAAGCCACAAGGTAAAAGGGAAAGGTAAAGGACCCCTGGACGGTTAAGTCCAGTCAAAGGTGACTATGGGGTTGCAGCACTCATCTCACGTTCAGGCCGAGGGAGCCAACGTTTGTCCACAGACAGCTTTCTGGCCAGCAGGACTAAACTGCTTCTGGTGCAACAGAACACCATGATGGAAACCAGAGTGCAATGAAACACCGTTTCCTTTCTTACAGCAGTGGTAACTATTTATTTACTTGCACTGGAGCTGGGACAGAGCAGCGGGAGCTCACTCCGTCGCAGGGATTCGAACTGCCGACCTTCTGATTGGTAAGCCCAAGTGGCTCAGTGGTTTAGACCACAGCATCACCCGCGCCCCATCAGATAAGCCACAACATTTGCATGCAACTCTGAAGCTGCAATCCTACACTCACTTACATGGGAATAAAGCTCAGTTTAGTCACATTAGCTTTGAGTAAACACACTGTGATTTCCCTACCCCATATCTTTCTTTGAGTTTGTTATCTGATGGTGTTTGTGTTGTGTTGTTCATTAATGTATCAGGCACAATGAGGAGGAGGAAGATGACTACAACAAACAACCACAACAACAACAGAGGCAACTAAAATTCTCTCGTTTTGAATTTCAAATTTCCTCCCTTAATTCCTCGCCACAATTCCATTCATCCTTGACGGTTCCCTTTTCCCTAAACTCTGTTGGCCCCACTGCCTTTTAGCTGATTTCAAGAAGGTATCTCACTATGGTGCAAACTTAGGTCCATTGATTTAGTCAAATATGTTCTTCACATGTCTCTGTGTAAGATAAATCAAAAGTGGACTTACCTGGATCACGGTTGATAGAAATCATCGAGATGTTTCTGGGAGTTCTCAGAGATGCCGGCCTTTCTTATAGAGTTTCCCTTGGGTGTATAGAGTGTACATGTGGATGGCTAATAAACCGGAAGGCCAAAATTAGCACCCACATATTTTCCCTTATTTTCAGAAAGATAATTTGGTTGAGGCTGGGCTCACCATCACACCCTTGCAGTCTCTCTAATTTTAAGAAATTAAGTGTCATTTGTGTTCCAGGAGTCCATATATTAGACTTATGAGCTGCATTAGCCAAACAGATGGCTGGCTCCAAGGTATATGTGACCCACATATCATGCCTATTGGGCTATTTACTACCAGAGAGGCTTCCAGTGAGGATCCTTGTTTCACTGAAATGGAAGTTACCCATAGCCCCAAAGGCATTTGCCTTTCACCTGTGTGGTGCTCCATAAAATGTTGGACTACATCTCCTATTGTTTAGTGGCCATTGGTCAAGGGGCTTAGGGGAGTTCCTGAAAGTATCTGGAGTGATACCATATGTTAGCTACCTCTGTTTTAACTCATTAATTACACGCTAAAATTTTATAATATTTTAACTAGGATTTATATATTGTAATGTTTGAAATATTAATTTGGTATTGTTGATTATGGAAAGTGTTTTTTCTCTTCTTTCTTTTTTTTGTTTCTTTTCTTCTATCTTTCGTTTCTTTTCTTTTCCAGCCTGCATTTTGAAAAATGCATAGATAAATGTTTTTATGTATTGTTATGTATTGTTTTTATTTCTTTTTTCTTTTTATTTTCTTGTAATATTTAATAAAATTTAATGGGGGGGAAACAAGGATGATATGTTTTTGGATAATATGTCTTGTTATAATTTTGAATAAAAAAATTAAAACAAAACAAAACATTCGCAAACCAAGGCGAATGGTTCTGTCTTATCGGCCCGGAAACAATACCAACAGCCGAAATGGAGGTTTGGCTTCCAAGAAATGTTCGCAAAGCAGAACACTCACTTCCAGGTTTACGATGTTCGGGATCTGATTTTTTGGGGACCCAAGCCATTTGGGAACCAAGGTACCACTGTAATGAAACATTAGATTGTGGGGTTTAAGAAAAAAAATGCATGTACATTTGCTTCTGATATTTGTTGATCAACCAGTCCCCAGTGATTGGTCGTTCTGCAGTCCTAAGGGAGAGGCTGAAACCTCATTCTAATTAAATCTTGTGTCTCCATTATTGACTGGAGAAGGCAGCCAACCTTCATTAGCGAGAACAGAGTTGAATCCATGGATTACGCTTCTGAAAGGGCCAGACACTTACTTTGTCATTTTGTCCATGCCAAATATCAACTAATTACCACTTCAGTGGGTGAAGGTTATGAAAAGGTCCTCTTAATACCACATGTCTAGAAGGCATCGCCCCTGGTGATGCTCCACATGCGCAATGAACTGTGTTATTTCACTAATAGCTGGTTCCATTCCTTTTGTACACCCGCTTCAAATTATATGATGGAAGACTATGAAAAAGGTTGTTCTACCCAAACCATCGCTTGTCCTTCCATAAACCAAGCCACAATTGTCATGGCGATCTTCCAGATTTCCTGAATAAAACTTAAATGGGAGAAATAAGAAAATATCTTAATCCTTAGCCTTCTATCATCTTAAAGTAAAGGCAACACATTACATTAATTGCTGCCATTAATGTCATATAGGATTAGGATTTTTCTTCTTCTAATGCCTATTTCACTTTGATGTAAAGGAAAGATGTGTTTATGGGATTTCTTTTCTGGCTCCACTATATGAACAGTTCTCAACTATCAAATGCATTCTTATACATATTATTATAGTATATAATACACTCTGGAATTCCTAAATTAGCAAACACATAAAATATATACATGCAACAATTTCATGTTAATATAAAATTATGCTGCAGAAATATAGGATTTATTTACAGAATGCGTTTATTGCTTTTATTGTTATTATTATTAAGGTTGCAGAACTATATAGTATAGTTGGATAAACTTATTGTTTATCCAACTATATTGTTGGATATGGGAACTTATTGTTTCCCTCAAGTATACATTGATTCATGGGTCCCTGGAGTTTTGATAAATACCGTACATTCCAAATATCATTAAATTTATCTGTGCATAATCTTCGTTTGAAAGTGATCCATTTGTGGTTTGCAAGAGTTGTCATGTCATCTATCTGTTGATCGAAGGGGGCGGCATATTTTTGTCCTTCCAATGTATCAATATCAATCTTTTTGCAGATGTAGGGGTACGGAGAATCCATTTGCGTTGACTGATTCTCAAGCTACATATACTAGAAAGATAGTTTAAGATGTTATCTTCCAAAATTTTCAACTCTTTCTCCACAATAATACTTACACATCCCAATATTTCCCCCCAAAATATTTACCAACACCAAACATTGTATAAATATATATGTTTCAAATAAGCATTTTCCTTATTACGTACATCTCCAACATCATGCCATCATTGATAG